TTTTGAGCAAACGTCCCTTTCCAGGACAAAATCGAATCTTCCATCCACACCGAGCCCGGCAAGCTTTACAGCCGACACTCCATGAAATCCGGTCGGCTCGAAAATCAGTATGTCCTTTAATATATAACCCTATTAACGATTGCCATTTGATTCAGGCTAACCCCCGCCAGCCAAGGTGAGCTAGCCGGCCAGTAATACATTTCTTTTCTCTCGCAGAATTTGCCTCATCAGCACGCCTTCTAACCCTATTACTTGACTGCAAAAAATCGCTTATTTTGGTTAGGTTTCCACAAATTTTAGTAATCGCAAAATCTAACAATTTCTAACCGATGCTACGCGTTAATGCTAATTGCGAAGTTGTTGTTTTATTGTTTTGCTTTCAATAACGAAAGTTGCTAATCTGAAACATCAAAGCTTGTGCTTTTTCTTATAGTTTTTATCGCTTTCTTATAGTAATAACTTTAAATTATTACATAAATTTAGTTGTTAATGAACACTAAGGCTTTTTTGGTAGAATTAATTAATAGCTTCAAATAGTTATTTTTCGATTTTATTAACAAAAAGGTTCTTTAATATTTATCGACTTTTTTAATTCCATTATAAAAGATTTAGAGTAGTTTTTCAGCCACTGTTTTCCACTAAAAAAATAAATATCGTACACCTACCATTTTTCTTGATTTGCCATCATTAGCAGCGTGTTCTCACCGGCTCGCCTCGCCCATTTTCTGGTGCCTTTTTTGATTTTCCAGGGCCTAGCCCCGCCCCTTTCCTTGGCCCCGCCCCCTTTTTATAAATATTTGCTGTGCAAGGCTTGTGGTTGAACTTTAAATCTCTGGTTTCGGCGTTAATACTATCTTTTTAGATGACTACACGAAATCCCCGGGGCCGCAACGGCGAAACACGTCAGCTGTGATCATCCAGCCTAGGCAGGGCGTCTCCAGATTCGCATCGAATCCGGTGCCCGCGTTGATGCAATGTGGGACGTCGAATTCGAAAACGAGTCTGGATCATACTGCCTCGTTTGACCCGTCGGTGTCGCCGCGCCCGTTGCCCCACCCCCACTCATTCACCCACTCCGAGCCCACAACCCCAAAGTGGTAAGTAGATCATGAAATTCAGTTACATCCGGCCTACCCCTTAATCCCTTAATCCAACGCTTGCTCAACTTGTTCAACGCGCAAGCCTCTTGGCCGATGTAAGGGGGTCGTTACCAAACGGCTAAACAGGGGGCTCGCGTTGCGTGTCGCGGCCCGGTAGCATTGCTACGGAATCGATAGAAAAAAATGGCGCTCCTGCCTGGATGAATCGTTGAAGCTAGGTTAAGGGGCGCACCGTAGGCCCGCACCACAGCACCACAGCAGCGCAACGCAGCGCGTTTGGAACGACCGCCACGCGGCTGCAACGCATCACGTCCGCGCATTGCGTAAGCGCACACACCGCGTTTGCAAGCCGCAGCGCGACGGCAACGCGTGCACAACGCATAGATTCTCAGCAGGAAAATGCAGGCAACGCGAAATTGCTATTGCCGAGAAAATCAAGACCCAAGGCATGAACTAATTCTTCGATTTTAGCCTAAACTTCTCGACCCCGAACCCGTACACCGGCCGCTCGAATCTCTCGATAATGGGCCCGCCGGAAAATGTTTGAATGTTACCTCCTAATTATACATGGGTCGACGCTTGCATGCGCCGCATAAGCGTGGCCGGCCGGAGAGCCACGCTGGCGCGCGTGCCTCTTAATAAACCACGCCGAAATGAGCGTGGCCCGCCACGCTCCGGAAACGCTTATGCAAAGCTTCTAAAAATGCAAAATCAAAGTTTTCCAAGGGACATGAAAGCAAAAATCGATCCGTTTTCGAGAATTTAATTAACAAGAAGTTGAATGACGATCTATCTTGTTTGTTTATCAAAATTTAAAGATGACCCTGATAGTTATGTATCCGCAATTCATTTTTGCAAAACGAAATCGTAAATATATGTCCGTTGAATTTTTGATTTGCATCTGGAGTTAAATCGCGCGCGTGAAAAAGCACGCATAAAGCGCCGCATAAGCGTGGTCCGCCACGCTCCGGACGGGCGTGGCCAGCCACGCTTATGCGGCGCATGCAAGCGTCGACCCATGTATACTCCTAATCCTACTATATATAAAAAAATAGTGTCTGTGTGTGTGTGTGTGTGCATTTGCATGCAACTTCCGTCAGCGTGTTCCAGTAGTATCTCAAGAGGGGAAGTACTTAGGGGTATGTTCGATACGTCATTAGGTGCGTAATGGGCTGGAGATGACTGCACACATATCAGATCTTACAAAATATGAGGTTTTCGACATTAAAATTAAGTTTTTCATGGAAAATCGGACATCCCAATTTGTTAGGAAAAAATTAGCATGCACCGCAAGTCGCGGTTGCCTATATAAAGGGACGGCAAGAGCATTTTTCATTTTCGTCATCCGAATCCGGGAAGATTATGCAAAGTCAAGAATATCATTGGAGAAGACGGGGCCAGGGTTGAAAAGCCGCGAAGCGGTTTTTCAACCCTGGTAACCCCTTAATACCCCCGTTAATATTCCCCTAGAGCCGATCCCCAGGTAGGTGATCGGCTCGGCTGATCCGTTGATCTCTGCGATCTCTTTCATGCTAATTGGTGGCCCCCGAATTCCTATTTTTCGTCTATTAATGCATTTACCAATTTCTTGTCAGCGCTTCTTCACCGTTGCCTCCTGCTCTGCTCTAGATGCCTAGCCCATATTCTGGTCGGATATTTTTGTGACATTTTGTGTTTTTTTTCGCTGCTTTGCAACCCAACCCAGCCACTCCATTCTCCAAATCCGGGTCTATCCCACACACACCACTACTATGTCGTCTTCTCGAATGTCTAGGTTCTCAAGTATAGACCAATTTTCGCATTTTCGTCAGTAAAAATTTATCTTTTGTCTTAAATTTCGTGGTAAATCTATAGCTATTCAAAATGCGTTTTATTCTTGTGTACCGTATAAATGTTGGTGTATCCATTTTTTACTAAAAAACGTAGCAAAACGAACAAAACGATACACAGCATTTTATCAACAGAACATAGATCTGAAAATCTTACAAAACAGCTTTTAAAGTAACACATTTTAATAAAGACATGGTTTTCAAAGATTGTTGCTAACTCTCCGTGCCTCTCTCTGCTAAATTAAAGGGAATACGGTAACATAGTAGGTAACATAGTCAAATTATCTGTTCAATTAATTACAACTGAATCAACCGCTCGGTATTAGTTCTTTTGGGAAGCTGCTTTTCGCTGATAAGTACCCCGACAACTTCTTCAAAAATTTACAACGACAACAACCTTCACGTGCAAAATGTCTTATCAGATCGGGCTGTCGGGTTTAATGGGCAGGATGAGAATACCTTCTGTGCCCACTTGCATTTTCTGTTGTTGTTGACGCAAATAGGCGCTAGAAGCAAAGAATGGTTCTGCTGCTACTGCAGAGGAGCTTACTGTCTTTCCTATTGTGTGGTGGAGTCTTTTTCAAACACGCCGCTGCGTTGGAACTGCCGATTCAGCAGCAATGTAAAGTGCTACTGGTTGCGGACGTTACGGATGCTGCCCCGGTAGGCTTGTCAATTTCTATCTTCTGGTTCGTATATTTTTGGCAGGTTTTGCGCATTTTTGATAAAGCTTCAAGTTTCGTACGGTTTTAACAGACTAAGCTTAACCAGACATCCCCGAATTCGGGTTTTAGAAATCCGAGGCAGCAACCCTGATGGCAACAATGGTTGATCTATACACCGGTGCCGGAGCAAATGGTTTCAATATCTCGATGGCATTCTGGAGATATAGTCGTGGCGGAGCATTCGATGGCCCCGTTCCAACGGATTTCTTCTATGACATGAATGAAGTTCCAGTCAGCTTTGGGATGCAGGGAGGCAATCTAGACATTATTTCGTGAGTATTGCTAAGCAAAACCCCCCAGCTATCCATTCTAGTGCCACCGAGGCGCTGAGTTCTTGGCCAGTGGAGGATGCAGTGATTGTACTTTTTACAGGAAGGTGAGCAGAACTTTCTCAAACAACTTGACACACTGCCTCGAGTCTAATTTAATCCGAAATCTTACAGTGACCAGAGCAAATTTCCCGCTGCTGGCCGCGGGTACAACAAGATAGCTCAAACCGTAGGAGTGGCAGGTTAGTGTGCCTTCGATGCAAAACTTCCTTCGTTTTTGATGGAAAAGACACATCGGCTTTTGCGGCAATGCCCGTTACTATGCTCTCTCCTCTGGCTATCTTTGATGCTGCTATTCGCTTATGCGACGAACAGATCCAAACCTCCACCGTGGAGCCAACGAGCGAGGAACCGACCACCATTACCATAACCACAACGGAATTATATTTTCCTCCCATTTGCGGATTCTGCATTTTGTTGGATGCTTCAGTGGAGGGCTGGGTACGTGGTTTCCATCAAGCTGACAAAATCGACAGGAATAACATTTTATTCCCGCAAAAAACCTCTTGACGTTGATAATCTTTTGTGGAATAATTGGTTCTTTAGGATTCCGGGGGGGGGGCCGGGGCGGGGGGGGGGAACCAATTTTTTTTCCTGGTGGTCCCGGTCAGGGTTGTTCATGGACGGGCTCGGACGGACGCGGGCCCGGACCCGTCCGCGTCCGAATAATTTTCTCCGACAGAGCGGACGGGCTGGGACGGTTTCGGGACGGGCCGGACGGGCTCGGACGCAGGAAGTAGCCCGCTATGCAAAGCGCGGGCAGCCAAAACTTGCATTATAATTGATGAAATGACCGTTTTCGCCTCTTTCCGAAGTAAAGCAGCTATGTAAATTAAGAAAAGACAACAATCGATCGAAGATGTTAATTTGCTTGCAATGATTTTGCATGTGCTTCCGGCCATTTGCATTGCGGACGCGCGGACGCCCCAACCCGCATTGCGTCCGTCCGGCCCGTCCGGGACCCGTCCCAGCCCGTCCGCATTTTTTATGCAAATTGCGTGGACGGGACGGGTCCGCGTCCCGGGCCGGACGGACGCGGACCGGACCCAAAATGAACAACCCTGGTCCCGGTTGACCTAGTAATCAAATATAAAGTGTTTTCGAATCCTTTTTAGTAAGCTTTAACTTTATTTAAAGCAGAATAACTTTCAGAAAACTTTAGAAAAATGTTTGAAAAAGTCGAACATTTGGTCATTTTGGGTCTTCCCCCCCGCGAATCGTAAAGGTTCTACAGGATTGTTCGACCTAATTTTAATTTTTTAATTTTCTTTGGTTAAAGTGTGTGTAGTTTTTATGCTCAGGAATAGTTAAAAACAATTTAGAAACGCATCCGCAATTCATAAAAAAACTAGGCCTGTGCCGAAAAAATTTGGTCCCCCCCCCCCCCGGAATACTTGCTTTGCATGAATGCAATAATTGCTTTAGCAATCAATTAACATGCTGATTTTGCATAAAATCTGCCGTTTTCATGGATTTTGGTCTTAAATTTAGTGAATTAAAGTGGCTATATGGAAAAACGAAAAGTGTTTGTTTTCTCGCCTTTTCGAGAGCTTTCGATGGATACCTAAATCGTCACAATCGGACATGACTGCGGCCCGCTAGAGGGGGTCGATTTTTTTGGGACATACTGTATACTATATTTCAGATACGGCCTGTTATGTAGACCATAAGGACTATTTTGATTCGTGGAAAGAACTTGCCCAATTTAGGAGACATATCCGGCGCAGGTTGAATATATGAAGCAGATATCCCTGCCACTCATCCAACAGGCTGTAGCCGCTCCCTACTTGCTTCCGATTTGTTTTTATATATTTGGACAGGTCAAACCAAATAGCTCTGTGAGAATTTTGCAAAGGGCGATTCGAGCGTTGGCTGCGGCAGTGATTATCAATGGCTCATTACTGGTTGGGAGGAGCTCAATCGCAACGTGACAATAGCAAATGCGAAGAATACGACGATCGTCGAGTAATAACCGGCATTTGCAATAGATTTTTCTAACACTTTAGCCAGATGGCATGGTTCAGCATTTGGCAATCGTGCACCGGCCGCGTGAGGCAGCTGGCACTAATTTTTACAAACAGGTTTGCCTGGGTGTTCCGCTGATCCGCATCAAAACGTGAATAATAGTGCATAATGCATTTGGCTAATGCCTCCACCTGTGTTACCTGCCCCGCCCGGTACTACCCGCCGTTCCACACTCGTTAGTAGACCTCCCAAACCCCCCTAAACCCCCCTTAACCCCCCTCCGAACCCCCCTCTGCTCCCTCCCCCTTTCCCCACTATCTCGCGCGAGAGGGGCGAAATAGTGCGGAAAGAGGAGAGACGCAGACGGACACAGAGGGGGGTTGGGAGGGGGGTTTCGGGGGTTTTAGGGGGGTTCGGGAGGTCTACTCGTTAGCTTACGCCGGCAGAATCGGTTTGATAGGAGATGTATCAGACCCTAAGCAACAATAGTCATCCGTTACCGCCCTAGAGCTACAGTAATTTTCGAGAACCCGCCAAAATACTATTTTCCAACCTTCGCCTGCAATTTGTTGTGCTTTGCACGGATTTAACTTCCGGCTAAGAATCCATTCTTTCGCTTAAAGGGATAGGGAAGGTCCACGTAGATCAGGGCTCATCAATAATTGCCAAGTGTAAGCCAGACAGAGATGCTACTGCAAGACAGTGTTAGCGAGATATAGAGTGGGTTTATTGCGCTAGGGAGCAGAGACGATCTATGCTAGTTTCGAGCATAAAACCGGTTTATGCTTAATTTATGCGGGCCTTCCTGGTCCCTTTAAGATGAGCGACCATTTTTTGTCTCGTTTTCCTGGGTCATTCTGGTCAGGAAAGTATTTCCTGGGCAAGGACGAATTGCCGCCTTACGTTCGCTTAAAGGTGCACTAAAATCCCGCTTAAAAAAGTGGGCCGCTGTCGGGAATTTGGCCCCTTTGTCGTGGCCTGGTCCGACCGTTCATATCCCCGCGCCGCCTCACCTCACCCGTCTGTCCCCTGGCCCATTGGGATATGGCGCTTCCCTCAGGCGAATGGTACCTTTAATATTTAGAGACCCTCTTCCCATTAAACCAGGAAAAGGCAAAAAAGTGTTTATTTTGTGCTAATAGAAAAGCTATTGTAGCCTTCGTGCTATAACTTGTGTGTGCCGAGATATGTGGTTGATCCAGAGGGGTCGATATGTTTGCGAAAGTATTAGTGGTGGCGGCTGGGCGCTATTAGGGGGAGGGGGACCTGTGGTCCAGTTTTGCGACCTCGGGTGTATGATGAGCGGAATGACGCAAGTACTTTCTTTCTGGGTCACCTAGTATCCACCATCTTCAGTCCGCGAGAATTTAGCAATTTTTCTCGCTGGCTAGACAATGTTCTGTAAAATCGGTCCCACATACGAATAAAATGATAAAATATTATAAACCATTTTCATTTCGGTGACCAAGCGGAAGTCGATGCCGCACCTCCATTTTCTGGTGTGTATCCGGTTGCCATATATGGACATGCGTTCTCAGGTGGCTTTCTTCGTTCCAACTTTTTGCATGTTTTTGCGCGTAATTTCATAAGCGAATACAGGGTATCCTAAAGAGACGTCCCTCTCTAACTCGATAGGAACGGGTCGCATTGGGATGGTTTACACCGTTCGAAAGCACTGGACAGGGTTATTTCGCATTAATCTTCGTAACCGTGTTTTTATTTAAACGTGCAATTTTGTAAGGTGGATATGGAGACGGTTTCAAAATCGTCGTTGGAAGGCTTTGGCAGGATGTAATCGTCATCCCGATGCGACCTTACCCCATCGTGTTCGAGGGGTTGGCGTTTTTTGGAACATCCGGTACTGCTATTTTTTCCATAGGCTCGGTTTCATTTTATCTATATCCATGCTGTCGAAATTCTTTTTAAAATATGATTTTGTTGAACAATAATATGGTTGCATTTTCAATTTGCCAAAATTTCAATGCCTTTTCGCTACGATGATTCAGCAAACGGAATTTGATATTCCGACGAAAAAATTTCAGCATACTGATTGCAAATCATACTAATTTATCGATTCAGTAGGTTCCGTCTCTGTGTAGTCCTCCCCCTTTGCGATATAGAGCATCGTTAAGCCGCCACGCAGTGTCACTAAAAATAACCTTCCGGAATTCTAGGTGCCAATCTTGGGCGCCTAGCGCATCCAGTCGGGCTCCCTCTCACGGAAACCATGCTCCATGCGGCAGACGAATATTGTCGATATCAACTGGAGCCATCCGATAGCCCAACCTTTCCACCCGATCCGACGCCCTACCCTACTGGACCGACGCTTCCGACACCTTCTACCGGGCCCTGCATACTGATCTTTATCTTAGATGGATCGATAGAAGCATTGGTAAGTGCGACGTATGACCGCGAGAACGCCCCATTTTTTTTCTCGTGTCGCTCCGTGCAAATCATTGGTTTGCCGTCTTGCGACCTGATTTGGCGTCCAAAAATCCACTTTGCGTCATGCCCTTACATAGAATCGATCCCAAATTGTTTGGGTCTGAACCTGACGTGGTGCTAGGGGGTCCCGAATAAATGTTCCATGCATCATCGTATCGTGAATTTTTCCACTTTTTTGCAGTTTTCGAAATTTTTGAGTTAGGGACTCATTCGAGAGATAAAATTTTCTGAGTACGTCCGTGATTTTTTGTTTTTTGCAAAATCGCCTGGGAAGATCAAAATAAACGAGGTCGAAGTTTCCGATTTTAACCAAAGGATCGCATTAAAAGGGACACGTCTCGAAGTTTAAAAATTTGTAGCGAATTCGGTAAACGAGGTGACGATCAGCGTGGCCAAATTTAGCTGTATGCAAAGTTCCAGCCAATTCTAAATCCTGGTTTATTCGGGGCCCCCTAGTTCGTTAGAAAGCGGACATCCAAAGCATCATTTTTACTTAGACACCAAACGATCTGTATTGCAGGATCTGCTCGGCGAACAAGTCGCATTGATGAGAGAAGCAGCGGCGACCATGTTCAAAGAGTTACAAGATCTGCGGTTTAGACTTGCAATGGCTGGTGTAGTTGTCGGCCAGGTACACACTCACAGCAAATAACCGACCACGCCAGAGCGAATATGACATCGATTATGCCTTCCAAAAATATACCCCCGAGTATTGGCTATACGACTACTTTTTCGCCGTTGACCGGAAGAATGTCACGAGACTTACCGCATTGAATCACACTATTGCTGAGTAAGACCTCGTCCCTATTTCTCTATTTCGTTTATCAGTACTTTGGCTACCGTGCGTTCGGAAATCTACCCGGATCGAGGAGCTGCCTTCTTCTTCAGTAACAGGTCTGCAAAACTTCTCAAAATAGATCATGATGCACAGCCCCCAAGCGGAAGTCGACGCGATTCCGACGTCAGATTTCCGCCGGCAACTCTATGGCTACAGTCTAGCAGGTGAGACACACTGCGAGAAATGCAGCCGGCAATTCAGTCAGTGAATTACACCTCATCAAAGGCCTCTTACTGAATTGCGGAAGAAGAATTTATCAGATAGCTGTCCAAATTTATTGCTACCGGGCAAAAATTATGCATAGCTTTTGAGGCGGTTTCCCGATGGCAACAGCCAACAATTCTGCACAAGTTAGGTTGGGTTCTTGCGCAAATTCACATGACGAGCAAACCCCCATTATTTTCGGTTCAAACGTTACTAAAGTAATCCATACAATGCAAGTCGCTGCTTCGATACGGCTGAATTCAGGGGCTGACCTCAGCAGGATTGCCAAACCCTTCCAAATCCCGCTGGCGGAAGACACTATCGCGGACTTTCGCGATATTTTTTGCTTGGTAGGCTGAACTGTCGACCGATGCATTTTTTCTCTGACTACCTCCAGAAAGAGAATCTGAGTTTTAGGGCCCCGGATGAGCTAATCGAGATCAAGATTTTCCACTGACTTATGCGAAAATAAATGGTGATTTTTTGTCGAACATTTGTCGTTGCACATCTACTATATATAAATTTCTAATGTCCGTCCGCCCGCGTCCAGGAATTCAGCCAAATTCTGCATTCAAATTCGAAATTCAAATTGTGTGGGGGGAGGCCAGCGCTGAACCCCCGCGTAGCGGGGGGTCGGCGCTGGTTTATTCACCTGTATTACGATTGATTCGGCTGTTGTTATGACGGATCCGGAAAAATATTTATTCAATCGCTCACCACGGGTAATTCCTTGGCCCGTATGGTGATGCAATATGGAGATCCGGGATTTGGTAGTTGTAGTTGTACGGGCTGTACGACCAGGTGTTCAAAGCATATCCAACCGGGTAGCGGTATCCATAGCCATAGTAGTTATATTGACGTTTTGCCCGGCTCAGCGGTCGATCGGGGGCTAAAAAGTTAAAGGTAAGGTAAAAAGGTAAATTAAAAATTATAAAAGGCGAATGTTAAAAGTTAATTGGGGCCAATTCCAGAAAAAAATATAGGAGCAGTCGCGGAAGTTTTGAAAGCACTAAATTTGGCGGGCTTTCGGGTCTCCGGCGCATTAATGGTAGAGGCTTATAAAAATGGAAAGTATTAACGTTTAATGGACCAAAATATATTTAATTTTCAAAGTTGTTAGAAAAGAGCAAATTGGATTGGCGCCAGGTCTAAAATGTCCGATTCAGCCAAAATTTCAATTCAACACATACGCTTATCGAGAGGCTAATTCTACGCATGAATAGACACTCAGCATATTTTTGAAACTCACCAAGCTCAGCTAGCGTCATGGCAATCAGAGCAACGAGTAGAAGAACAATTAGAGGTAGTCGGGAACTCATAATGCTTTTATTGGCATCTACCCCACCCCGATCCACATCCTATATTATACCCATCCCAGCTAATTCACCCTCACGAAGGACACCCGCGCTCTTATTGTATGTTACCCTCCTAGCTGCCGATTTCCTGGAAATAACGTTTCTCTACCTTCATGTTTCTTATTTTTGTCTTTCTTTGCGTGCGTGTACCTTCCTTCCGTGGTCCTTCGGTCTTTCGCGGTAAAAACCTGCTTTTCAAGTGTCCGGGGATGTCTGGAGTTGTGGCAGGGCAAGAATTTCTTTATTCGATTAACCTATTCAACTACCAAAAATAGGGACGCCGCCACCAGCGATGATTTTCGAAGGTAAAGGGCGTGGGCGTGTAGATAGATGTTCAATGATGACGAATGGTTGGGTGGGAAAACACAAATCGCTGCTCACACTTGAAAGCAGGCAAAGGGCAAAGGTCGCTGATTTTTGCCGGGTTTGCAGGGATTTAAGCTCTTTTTGGATGGATCTTGCGGGAATAGATAATATTTTATATAACTATATTTATAACTATATTTTCTACTAAATATTTTGGAACAACCTCTCCTATTTCAGGTGCAGACAGGCCCGTAGCGGAACCGAAATTTCGGGGTGGGGCAAAAATTTTGGCGACCTCCCCCCTCCCCCCGGTCGCCACTTTTAATATCCGAAAATCGCGTCAATAATTTCGCCGCAGGCAAAAAAAATCGCAAAAAGCGTTTGCTACACTCAAATTCTTGTGAAAACACGGCAGAAAACGCGCCGTGGGCGAAAAATTTTTAGGAACAATTGCTTCACCAATGAAAAACCCGCGCCGCAGGCAAAAAATTTTGAAAAAAAAGGCTTTATATAAGTAAAAACTATTTGAAAAACAGTAATAAACAGCGCCGCAGGCAGAAAAATTTTTGCAACTAAAAATCATAAGGGTCCCCCCTTATGAATTTTTTGGACCTCGACCGCTTTCGGGGGGCCCAGGGCCCCTGGGCCCCCCCCCCTCCTACGGGTCTGGGTGCAGATATGAGCAGGATTGCTAAGCCGCTAAAATTGCCTCTAAATGAAGAAACTATTTCCGAATTTCGTAGTTTATGTATGGTAAGCAGGGGCGTTCGAAAGGGGGCGGGGGGGAACCTGCCTCTCTTGCCGGCTCCCCATCCCCCCCAAATTGGCCAAAAGCTGGAAAGTTCGTAAAGGACAAAATTTTGCCCCCCGCCCCCTATTATTTTTCCCCAAAATTTTTCTGCCTGCGGCGTTGTTTTTTTAGTTCAGTTATCAAAATCTTCGCTAATTTTTCAGCCTGATGCGCCGTTTTTCGCAGCATTGTGAACATTTTAGTCGTGATACACGCGATTTGAAAAGATTCTCACGGGGGAGGGAGGCTTTTTTTGGGAGTTGTCGCCCCCAACCCCGAAAAAATCGGGATTTGGTACGTCCCTGATGGAGAAAGGAGTGAATGAAAAAAAAGTATGAATAATTTTACCAAGCTGGGCTGCAGCTCCAGATTTCGGTCTACGCCTAAATCCACTCCAAAACGCATTTGCCAGTTTTAGGTCTACTAGATTGTTGGCGAGAAGTACTGCACCTATGGATGACCTAAGTGATGAATACAAGTTTCTGCTTCCGCGTACGCACAAGCAAAATTACACATGCGATTGTACCGGTTTTTGGGACGGGAGTTTGTTGATCGATAGATAGTAACCAATATATGACATGACAATAGAAAGTCGTTGTAGTACAACAGCTACCCTAAAACCTCGTGTATAGGTCCTCCCCGTGTATAGTTCCGGGTGAAAATTTTCATGTGTACGGAGCGTCCGTAATTCCGTATGACCGTCATTAGGTGTGTTTCGTTTATTCGGTTTCTTGCAAATAACGCCGCTCACGAATGGTATTTTTGCAATTTTGATGGAATATTTGTTCGTATTTCGACTATTTCCAACGAATTCCAGCCGTAACACCGAAATTCAAAACGCAGACAGCCATAACGCAGACAGCCAAAACGCAGACAGCCAAAACGCAGACAGGACAAAACGCAGACAGCCAAAACGCAGACAGGACAAAACGCAGACAGCCATAACGCAGACAGCCAAAACGCAGACAACCAAAACGCAGACAGCCAAAACGCAGACACTGAATATGCTGACACCGAATATGCTGACCCCACTGAATATGCAAACAGCCAAAACCATCTCATAACTCAACACGTTATTCTTCCCAACCGAAATACAACTGCTGATATAATAACAGGCGATGATAATTTTTGGGATGTTTGAGAATTTTGATTTTGGGATGATAAGATTTTGGACGATATGCGAAAGTTGTCATCGCTGTCGAATTAGGTGAATCAGGTATCTGCATATTCGGTGTCAGCATATTCAGTGTCTGGGTTTTGGCTGTCTGCGTTTTGGCTGTCTGCGTTTTGGCTGTCTGCGTTTTGGTTGTCTGCGTTTTGGCTGTCTGCGTTTTGTCCTGTCTGCGTTTTGGCTGTCTGCGTTTTGGCTGTCTGCGTTTTAGCATTCTGCGTTTTGGGTGTCTGCATTTTGGACTTTTCCCATTTCCAACAATTTGAGTGGTTTAATGAAAGAAATTGCTGCATGAGGCCCTGAGAACCGGCTCTTTTGGCTTACCTAGCTTTTGGGCCGAATTGTACCCTACGCACATTATTTGGTGTCATTTGTATTGGTACGGAACCAAATTGTACCGGACCTATACACGAGGTTTTAGGGTAATTACAGAAGGGATAAGGATATACGGACGAATTTAAAAAACGAAAATCTTTCAAGCCGGAGTTTTTGACCTCCTCGACCTCAACTTCCTCTACAAACGTCGTTGTAATCAAGACAACTAGAAGAAGGATGAAAGCGCAATTCAATGATTCATCTTGCTGTTTGGCCGTACCTGACCAGCTCTTTTATACGCTTACCGACATTGCCTCCACGAAGCACTCGTGCTGGAAATCTGTTTAGCTCTTTTGGGAAGCTTCTTTCCGCTGATAAGTACCCCGAGAACTTCTTCAAAAATTTACAACGACAACGACCTTCACGTGCAAAATGTCTTATCAGATCGGGCTGCCAGGCTTTAATGGGCAGGATGAGAATACCTTCTGTGCCCACTTGCATTCGCTGTTGTTGTTGACGCGAAGAAGCGCTAGAAGCAAAGAATGGTTCTGCTGCTACTGCAGAGGAGCTTACTGTCTTTCCTATTCTGTTGTGGAGTCTTTTTCAAACACGCCGCTGCGTTGGAACTGCCGATTCAGCAGCAATGCAAAGTGTTACTGGTTGCGGACGTAACGGATGCTGCCCCGGTAGGCTTGTCAATTTTCTATCTCCTTGTTCGTAGATTTTCGACAAATTTTGCGCATTTTTGATAAAGCTTCAAGTTTCGTACGGTTTTAACAGGCTAAGATTAACCAGATATCCCCGAATTCGGGTTTTAGAAATCCGAGGCAGCAACCCTGATGGCAACAATGGTTGATCTATACACCGGTGCCGGAGCAAATGGTTTCAATATCTCGATGGCATTCTGGAGATATAGTCGTGGCGGAGCATTTGACGGCCCTATACCGACGGATTTTTACTATGACATGAATGAAGTTCCAGTCAGCTTTGGGATGCAGGGAGGCAATCTCGACATTATTTCGTTAGTATTGCTAAGCAAAACCCCCCAGCTATCCATTCTAGTGCCACCGAGGCGCTGAGTTCTTGGCCAGTGGAGGATGCAGTGATTGTACTTTTTACCGGAAGGTGAGCAGAACTTTCTCAAACAACTTGACACACTGCCTCGAGTCTAATTTAATCCGAAATCTTACAGTGACCAGAGCAAATTTCCCGCTGCTGGCCGCGGGTACAACAAGATAGCTCAAACCGTAGGAGTGGCAGGTTAGTGTGCCTTCGATGCAAAACTTCCTTCGTTTTTGATGGAAAAGACACATCGGCTTTTGCGGCAATGCCCGTTACTATGCTCTCTCCTCTGGCTATCTTTGATGCTGCTATTCGCTTATGCGACGAACAGATCCAAACCTCCACCGTGCAGCCAACGAGCGAGGAACCGACATCCACTACCATCACCACAACGGATGTGTATTATCCTCCCAGCTGCGGACTCTGCATTTTGCTGGATGCGTCAGTGGAAGGTTGGGTACGTGGTTTGCAGATTCCATCAAGCTGGCGGGGCCGACAGGAATAACATTTTATTCCCGTGAAAACCTTTGACGATGATAACCCTTCGCGGATGAATAGACTACACTGCTGGACATAATTTCACGTCCACCTGATTTTTTCGGTTATTTTGGTGGCAGGAAGGAGTTTTCGCGGAAGCCACTTTTGGGCAGTTTATAACACCCAACAGGCGACTACTGGGACTGAAGCATCCTCAGAAAATTTTTAGATTTTTAAAATTAGCTTTTCGTAATAAAACAGCTCTGGCAGTGGTCAAAATTTTACGTCCACTTGCAAAAATCAACTAAAATCCTGCGTTTTTCAAGTTTTTCAATCATTTCTGATCAACTCTCGGATCGACTCTGCGGACTCGACGCTTTCGGGACAACAGCGGAACCAAAACGGCTTTTCCCGACGGGATTTCGCCCCAAATCATCAAGACAGCCGAACTCCACGCTGACGTCGGCCCCTTGAAATCGGTTTTCTGACTTGCCCAACCATCTGTCCTGACTGTAACGTCGTTCGGCATGACTAGGGCCTTTCCGACACAATATCCAGGAAGGAATTTGGGAATTAGAGTCCAAAACAAGCGAATTCCGTTTTGATGTTCCTGTAGGCGTCAGACCCCCATTTGCCGGGGCGTACAACTTGTTATCGTGGCCCAACACGAAAAACGGCAACTAAAGCCAAAATCAAAAGGAATGATTGGAAATTTTGAAAAACGCGGGATTTCTGTCGATTTTGCGAGTGGACGAAAAATTTTGTCCACGCGCCAGAGCTGCTTTATTACGAAAAGTTAATTTACAAAAAATCTAAAATTTTTTTGTGGGTGTTTTTAGTCCCAGTAGTCGCCTGTTGGGTGTTATAAACTGCCCAAAAGTGGCTTCCGCGACACTCCATCGTGCCGGCCAAAACACTGAAAAAATCTGGTGGACGTAAAATTATGTCCAGCATTGTATGCAATACTTCAGATACCTTCTGCTATGTAGACAATGGACACTTTTGATTCGTGCAAAGAACTTGCCCAATTTAGGAGACATATCCGACGCAGGTGGAATATATGATACAGTTAGCCCTACCAATCATTCAACAGGCTGTAGCCGCTCCCTACGGGTTTTCGATTTGTGTTAAGATTTTTGGACAGGTCAAACTCACTAACCCTGTGAAAATTTTGCAAAGGGCGATTCGGTCCGTCGCTGCAGCTCTGATTACAAATGGCTCATTACTCGTTGGGAAGAGCTGAATCAAAACGTGTCAATGGCAAATGCCGGGAATACGACGATCGCGGAGTAATAACCCCCCATTTGCACTACATTTTTCACCACTTTAGCCAGATGGCATCGCTAAGCCTTTGGCGATCATGCGCTGATTCCGACAGGGAGATTGCCCTGATCTTCACAAACAGGTTTGTCTGGGCTTGGATGCTGATCTGCTGCGAAAAGTGAATAATAAAGCGCAATCAATATTTCATTTTTATTAACATGCGAACCTTTCGCTAACCCCTCCACCTTAGATTAATCCTCCGCCGGTGACCCTACGCTGTGGAATAAGTTTGTTAGAACGCAGAAATGTATCATACTCTAAACAACAATATGCCTCAGCTATAACCTCACCACTACAGTGGTTTTCGAGCCACCGCGAAAAGACTGTTTTCCAACATTTGCCAGCGGTTTTTTCGGTTTTGCATCGATTTGCATCGACTTACGGCTAAGAATCTCTCCCTTCGCCTAAGGGGATCAGGAAGGCCCGCGTAGATCAGGGCCCATCGATAATTTGTTGATAATAGAATGATAAAAGCAAGTTGCCAGACGGAAATGCCAATGCAAAAGACGGGGTAGAGAGTGGATCCATGCGAGAGGGAGCAGAGACGATTCATGCCAATTTTGGAGTTAAAACCGGCTTTATGCTTGCTTTATCCGGGCTTTCCTGGCCACTTTAAGATCAGCGATGAATTTGGAGCTTATTATCCTGGGTCATTTTTTTCAGGAAAGCATTTCCTGGGTAAAGATGTGTCGCCGCGTTGCTTAATATTTAGAGGTCCGCTTCCCAATAAACCAGGAAAAACGGCAACGAGTGTTTATTTTTGCTAACGGAAAAACTATAGTAGCTATTAGTTATTTCGACACTTATACACCTCGGTCCACTTTTGCGACCAATCGGGTGTAAGGTAGCTGGAATGTGCGTTCTGAGTCGCTTATTATCCACCATCTTCAGTGCTCGAGACTTTAGCAACATTTTTGGCTAGCTAGACAATGTTACAGTAGTAACACTGGTAAAGTACTATAACAGTAGTGTCCCGCATATGAATAAAATGGTAAATGACTAAAACCTATTTTGTTTTAAGTGATCAAGCCGAGGTCGATGCCGTACCACCATTTTACGGATCTAATACGTTAGTCAGATATGGACATGCATTCTCAGGTAACTTTCTTGTCTTTTCAAAAATTCGCCTCTTTCCCCTCGATAATTCATTTATTCACCTCAAAGTTGATTTATCGACAAATGAAATGCAGCATACTGATTGCTAATTAGACTAATTTACCGATTCAGTAGGCGCAGCGCCTGCGTAAGTCTTCAAGGCGCAGCGCCTGCGTCGCTTTGTCATGAAGAGTCCCCAAGCAGCCACACAGTGTCACTAAAAATAACCTTCCGGAATTCTAGGTGCCAATCTTGGGCGCATAGCGCATCCAGTCGGGCTCCCTCTCACGGAAACCATGCTCCATGCGGCAGACGAATATTGTCGATATCAACTGGAGCCATCCGATAGCCCAACCTTTCCACCCGATCCGACGCCCTACCCTACTGGACCAACGCTTCCGACACCTTCTGCCGAGTTCTGCATGCTGATCTTTATCTTAGATGGATCGATAGAAGCATTGGTAAGTGAGCCGCGGAAACGCCCCATTTTTCGCGTATCGCGCCGTGTAAAGCGAGGTCCGAAAAGTTCATAAAAAATTTTCTGCCTCCGGCGCTATTTATTATTGTTTTTAAAACAATTTAAACTGCCATAAAACCTATTTTTCCAAAAATTTTCGCTTGCGGCGCTAGTTTTTCGGGAATGTATCAATTTTATTTGTAAACATTTTGTCTGCGAGGCATATTTTACATTATTGTAGGCTTAAATTAAAACTCTTCGTATATTTTTGACACTTTATCGAATGGCGTTTAAAAAAAAAATAAATAAATAAATGCCGACCAAAATGGCGAAAATAGCGAAAAGTTTGAGACCATTCGGCTAAATCTTACCGGGGGAACCCTCAGGATTTTTCCTCAAAAAATTTTCTGCCTGCGGCGCTTTATTACTATTTTTAAGACGATTTTCCAAAAATTTTTCGTCTGAGGCGCTGGTTTTTCGTTAGCGCATCAATTTTGTACAAAAATTCTGGCCTGCGGCGTCTGCCCGTGAGGTTTTCATACCAATTTGAGCGCAACGAAAGCGTTTTTATACACTTTTTTGCCTGCGGCGCTGTTATAGAAGCGATTCTCGGTGGTTCTGAAAGTGGTGACGGGGGGGAGGTCGTCATAAAATTTTTCGGTGCCCCCCGAAATCTCGGCTCCCGTACGGGCCTGCCCGTACATGCCGGTCCGTAAGGGCGGGGGTGGATTTTTTCTTATGTATCTTATTCTTGCCTGCGGCGCTTTTTATTGCGGTTTTAAAGTCGATTTTTAGTGCCATCAACACCATTTTTCCAAAAAACTTTGCCTGCGGCATTTTTTCTTTTTATCGAAAATTTCGCTGCAAAAGAGCGTGTTGCTTCGGCTAAAAATATTGTACCCACTCCCCCGCCCCCGAAATTTCTGGTTTGTTCCGGCTCTGCTCACATCGTTCACAATTTGATTGCATCTGAATCTGACGTTTCGTTCCCGGATGATGATAGTTAGGAAGCGGGTTCGAAGCGAAAAGCTTTTTTGCAGGATTCGTTCGGCGAGCAAATCACATTGATGACAGAAGCAGCGATCACCATGTTCAAAGAGTTACAAGATCTGCGGTTTTCGCTTGTAATAGCTGGTGGGGTTGTAGGCCAGGTATCTTATCACAGGGAATAATTCACCACTTCAGAGCGAATTTGACATCGATAATGCTTTCCATTCATATACTAACGTGTATTGGTATTACGACTACGTATTTGCCGTTGGCCGCAAGAATGTCACGAGGCTCGCCGCTTTGAATCACACTATTGCTGAGTAAGACAGTGTCCCTGTTACTCGATCTCGTTGATCAGTACCTTGGCTACCTTGCGTGGGGAACTCTACCCGGATCTAGGAGCTGCCTTCTTCTTCAGTAACAGGTCTGCAAAACTTCTCAAAATAGATCATGACGGATAGCCCCCAAGCGGAAGTCGACGCGATCCCGACGTCAGATTTCCGCCGGCAACTCTATGGCTACAGTCTAGCAGGTGAGAGACACTGCGAGAAATGCAGCCGGCAATTCAGTCAGTGAATTACACCTCATCAAAGGCCTCTTACTGAATTGTGGAAGAAGAATTTATCAAATAGCTGTCCAAATTTATTGTTACCGGGCAAAAAATTATGCATAGCTTTTGAGGCGGTTTCCCGATGGCAACAGCCAACAATTCTGCACAAGTTCGTTTTGTTCCTGCGCAAATTCACATAACGAGCAAAACCCCATTATTTTCGGTTCAAACGTTATTAAAGCAATCCATACAATGCAAGTCGCTGCTTCGATCCCGCTGAATTTAGGGGCTGACCTCAGCAGGATCGCCAAGCCCTTCCAAATTCCGCTGACAGAAGACACTATCGCGGACTTTCGCGATCTTTTTTGCTTGGTAGGCTAAGCTCTCGATCAATGCATTATGAAGCAGAACAGATTCATTTCTTTAGTAGTTCCAGGAAGAGAATCTGGTCGAGTTTTAGGGCCCTGGATGAGCTAATCGAGATCAAGATTTTCAAATGGCTTATGCGAAAATAAATGGTGATTTTTTTGTCGAACATTTGTCGTTGCACATTTATTCACCTGTATTACGATTGATTCGGCGGTTGCTATGACGGATCCGGAAAAATATTGATTCAATCGCTCACCACGGGTAATTCCTTGGCCCGTATGGTGATGCAATATGGAGATCCGGGATTTGG